TTTTCATTTCACTAAATCGCGAAAACTGAAAAACCTATTTTAATTAACTCCTCCAAAGCCGCAAGTCTAATCGGCACGAAACTTGGCACGGACTGTCTCTGGACTGAGCCGATAAAAGTTTGGAGAGGGAATTTTGATCCACTAAAAAACGTCTGAATTACAAACTAACAAATGTTTGCGCAAACGATAAAACAGGATGTCATGTCAGATCTTACGTTTGCATTGGCCGACCTACATCAAACTCAGGGACCTTATGTGGCACGCCCTCCCGAGGGGCTGTGTCAAATTTGCCATCAATCGGCCTCTAGGTGCCGCTATTAATCGGATGTGAAATAACACTCCCATAGACATCCATTCATTTCAGAGCTCCATAACTGCAGGCCCCTTTCATTTATAACTCTGCTCATTTATTCTCCCAGGGCCTCCCGAGCCGTGGCGAGGCGCCCGGGCTGACTCGCGCGCCCTCTGCGAGGCCAGGGGGGGGCGGCTTGCGCTGGGAGGCTTGGATCCCGCTTATAACTGCTTGCAGTTCTAGTTTAATAATTTTGATTTGTTTATTTGATTGCATTTTCTTGTCGGATGTTTCTGTTTTACATATTTTCTAAATAAACACTTAATGATAAAGCAAGTTAAACTAACTTGAAATTCCTTACAGTGCAATAATAACACAGCAAACTAATGGACTACTAACTGGTGAGACGATGAAGAACGATCTACGTCTTTAAACTCAGATAAATTCTCTGAATGTCTGACCTGTAAAAGTCATTCATGCTTTTACATCATTCAACCTTGTTTTCTGCAACTCTTCACTCACTCTCTTCCTCCCACCGAACCTCACCAGCTCAAGTGTCGGTGTTTCTGTGTCTCTATGTGTTGTGACGTGGTTTTATACTGTAGTTTAGCTTTCTCTCATGTCTTTCTTCTGTCTTTTGTTCTGTAAAGCACACTAGATCAACTGTGTTGAGTGTAAAGTGCCATATAAATAAAGCTGAGTGAAGCTATCGCGCACCAAGTAAAGTATCTATTTCTCTGGAGCCTCACTTTTGGGAAGTGAACTTTCACAAAACCAGCACTGTAATAAATCTGGGGCTCCATCCAGCCTCTCTTTCTGTCTGCCACACCATCCCTCCACAGCCCTAATCAACCCAGCAGCCTTGGGAAGAGCAGTCAGAGACCCTCACCCATTCCCACCCACCCAGCCAGCCCTACATGACAATGGTACCAGCAGTTACCCAGGAAACAGGCCTTTCATTAGCTGTGTGATAAAAAAGATGTATTCCCCGTCTCCTCTCCGTCCACTTTTTCACATCTTTGGGGTTTTTTTGTTTTCGGGAACCTGTAGATAAGCTTCAGCTCGCGAGGGCAGCAGATCCCTCACCAGCCTTCGTATTGTAAGACTTTCTCCAGAGGAATACCAGAGGAGTCGTGGGGCAACGGACGGAGACGCTCCTGAGGACTGATATTTTCATCAGTTTTAGACCTCCCAGTGTCTGTATCTTTGAGTTATCAGCCTGAACTTCAACACAATAAGCTCTTCACTCTCCTTCACTCTGCTACTTAGGTTTTATGATTCAAGCCTTTTTTCAAGCCTTTCCTTTTTATTTATTAATCTAATTAAGCAATGATCTCCGTCCACACCAGCATTTAGTGATCTCCATCTGTATTAAATCGACAGAAAATGCACATTAAGATGCCGTTCTCGCACACTGGGCATGTGCGTGCCGGTGTAAACAGGAAGCAGATTGTCAACTCTGCAGTTGCAGAAGATTCGGCTAAAGAAGAAAGTTCTTTTAGAGACAAACAAAGAACAGGTGGACATGAACATGGTGAAGAATCACAGAGATTTCTTTGCATGGACCGACAATCAGGTGGAACTGTTACTGAAAGTAACACGGGAGCACAAAGAGACTGTGGCGGCGGTTATTTACACAGTACAATATACTTTAATGAAAACACAAAAACTAAAACTGTCAGTAGCATCGTGGTTCTGCTTTGCATGGCGTTTTCAAACTTCAACATGTTAGTCTGCAGGCAAAAACGTAGCCAAAGGTCACCATTTTGAAACTAAAGCGAAGCGTTTTGTATGTAGCCTGAGTAGCTGTTTGGGAGATTTTGATTGTATCACGTGATCCTCATCCAGCAGATGGAGTTGGCCAGTTGTCCTTGAACTGTAGACTTGTCTAAACTTCCATTTTTCTTCCGAGGACGATCACGCGATATGATCAAAAGCTCCAAGGGGGCCACAAAATGGACCTTGTGGTGAGATTGTTTTTGTCAACTGATGTTTGTTTGTGTGCAAAGTCAAGAGCGGACTTTCAATTTCAACATTTGTACCTTTTGAAAGAAGAAATAAAACTTTATTTTCGACTCCATCTAATGTCCTTGGATTTTCTTCTGCTACAGACGTACTTGTTTGCTACTGTTAGCAAGCTAACGGACATTACCCTGACATTATAAGGTCTTTTTTTAACCCAAAGTGGATGATGAAGTCTTTCAAGCGGTCAGAAAAAAAATCTACTAATTCCATGATATCTGGCCAAACTGCTAAGGAAGATCATGCAATGTAATCAAAAGCTCCAGACACATGTTGTTAGTAGATCTTGTGGTGGGATTGTTTTGACTTTACAATCTGTACAACAAGCAACTTCCACTATTCTTAGATATTTGGTTTATGTGGCAGGTGTTAAAAAGCAGTTTTTTTTGTGCATTTAAAAATACTAAAATGTAAAAATATGAGCACTGAGTGTCCAACCACTGGTGTCAGTATCATCCCTCCAAAGCTCACATCAGCTTCAACCTACTTTCAATGGCTGCATCATCGTCCTGCACACATTGGGTGTTGCCGTTTAGCACTTTCAGTTTGCAGCGTTTCTGGGTTGGAACAAGCGGTAAGGGTTAGCGTTTCACCAGCAGGCTCCTCTTACCTGTAGCCGTCAGCAGGGCTAGGGAATAATACCTGCATCAGGTTACCACGGGCCTCTCATCTGACCGGCCTACCACATTATAATTATGAGCCCTGCAATCCAGCTGGAGAGCTAAGTCCAGCAGGTAATCGCTGTCCAGGGGGGCTTGCCGGGAGCTCAGGCTTGGGGGGAAGGGGAAACGTCAGCTCTCCTTTCCAGAAAAAAAAGCCCGCGTGCTGGGCATGAAAACGCAGGATCCAGCCCTTCCAGAGGAGTGTTGGGTGTCCATCATACAGAGGTGTAGTATTACAGCACTTTATCTTGGCCCATCATTACCTCATCAGTGACTACAGACAGACATGCTCACTGACAGAGTGAGCATGACCCCTTGGGGGACGCAGGCTTCTTAGATTCAACTTATTTGCATTTGATTACTGCGGCTATTCATCTGACTCTCTGAACGCGAGCCACCTTGCTAATCTGCAGCAGGGTCAGAGAGAGACGGTGTGGTCTACAGCGGGGCAGACAGGCGGTGATATATGGGGCCGTGGGACACTTGTCCCTGTGAGACCCCACACCGACCCAGTGAAGGACCACAGATCCAAGCGCCATGGTGAACAAGGGTCTGACTGAGCACAGACAAAGCCCTGAAAGAGAAACCCAGCCACCCCCTGCTAATATTACCCATCCACCGCCTGATCACAGCAAGAGTCCCAAAAGAGATGAGCAGGAAAAGACCAACGTAAATCTCACGTACAAGCACAATAAAGCAAAACGGGGGGTGGGGGAAAAGACTAAAAGTCTGCAGCCGTGCTAGCAGCTCTGTTAAGTTGCACTTAGGCCCCATCCACACTACTCCATTTTGAGTTTTAAAACAAATACGATTTCCATCCACACCAGTGTTTTAGCTGTGTGTAAGCAGATGGTCTACTCAGTAGTTACAGAAGATTTGGCTAAAGAATCAAGTAATAAAGAGGAAAAGTCAGAACACATTTTTTTTTGCATGGACCAATAACGAGCTGGAAACGTTACTGAATGTAACACGGGAGTTAAAAGCGGCTGTGGCGGCAGAAAAAAGATTGGGAGTCATCGCAAAGTAAATATGGCGACATGCACAGTAACTTACAAGTGCAGGCTGTAAGTGTTATTTGCACGGTACAAGATATTTTAATAAAAATACCAAAACCAAAACTCTTTGCATGACTATGACTGATATGAGACCCAATCAGAGAGCCAAACGTGAGCGTCTGCGTCATCGTTTCCAAAGTCCTGCGTCTTTGCGTCGTCTCCGCACTAAAACGCTACCCGGAGCTTCAAAACGAAAAACGTGGTCAGCAGCGTTTTAAAAATTCTCCATGGTAGGTCTTTTGCCGTTTTAGTCTGGACGAGAGGTGCAAACGTAGCAAAACGCAGTAGTGTGGATGGGGCCTTAAGCACAGCGGTGCTTTGAGCTAAACGCTAACATCAGCATGCTTAAAATAACAGTGCTAACATGTTGATTTTAAGCAGATATAATGTTCACCGTCTTAGTTTGGCATATTAGCATGCTAATGTTTGCTAATTGGAACTAAACACACCGTACAGCTGAGGCATTTGGTCAAAAAACAAAGTATTGGACACATTATATTGTTGTGATGATGGCAATAGATGGAAAGTCAGATGATCACCAAAGTTATTACAGTTCATCCTGAGAGGAACATGAAGGTCTGAACCATATTTCAGCACAATCAATCCACCGGTCGCTGAGATGTTTTTAAAAAAAAATGTCAATCTCGTGATGGCACTAGAGAAAAAGTAAGAGGATCACTAGAAATCAGAAGGATTCATGCTGTGGGAATCACAAATGTTACACCAATCTGTCAATGATGTAAAGATTTTAACTGACTCAGGAAAAGTCAGAGGATCACCAAGGATCTTTAGAATTTATCATCTAGGGACGATGAACGTCTGAACAAAGTGTCACGGTCTATTTGATTGTTGTCGCCATGTTTCAGTCTGGAGAAAAAAGGCAGACTAACAGACCGACAATGCCATCCCAGGAGCCGTGCCTAGAAAATAAGTCAAATATCTCATTTAGACAAGCAAGATGCAGTAAAACTTTTTCCTTTATTTGTCAAAGAAAAGTGAAAAATAAAACAAAAACATGAAAGTAAAAGGATGCATACAGTGTGCCTGACTTTACAGAACCAATCGTGGGGTAAGAGACGCCATTGTTATTGTTTAAAAGTGTTATTTGATGGAGAAAAGCTAATAAACAAACATGTTTCATGTTTTACAAAGAGTCCTTTCTCCTGCCTGCGTGTATATTCACACCTCATAATACACAAAATAGTGAAACTGGTCTCTAAAGTAAACTGCATGAATAGACTCCTACAACAGAATGTAAAATATAACAAGTATCACTGTACATTGATTGCACTTTCACACATTTTAGAGGAAAACAGTAACAAGAACTGGATCTTTTCATATGGAGCGATTTGGTGCAGTTAGTCCGTATCCACCGACACATATCCAAGCTGCAGCAGATCTTTTGTTTGTATGTACCAACAACTCTCGGCCTCCTCACAAACACAGCTAGAAACAACACACGTTCCTTTTTAGTAATTAAAAACACAGCCTCTTACTGTAACACTGCCGCCCTGTCGAGTCCCAAGTGTTGTACTTGGCACACAGAAGGTCAGGTATTCATTTACAAGACACCGTGGCCTTTTTAAAGTCAACATTTTAAGGTCTTAATTGTTCTTTGTTGGAGAATTTTTGCCTCAAGCTGTTTCGTGTCCATTTTAACTTTTATGCCATGAAGCTCAAATGTGTCCTGCTCTCCATCTACTGCTCTGCTAATCAGAGGATCAAAAAAAGTAGTAATAAAAACAAAAACTGACATCTCTGTTTCCCTTCCTCTTGAAAAATGCAATCCTGCATATTTGTTACTTATCTAGTTAAACTGTTCCTAGTTCTTTATGGAAAAAAAGCATAGAGGATAGTTAGTAGTAAAAAAAAAACACGCAAAAAAAACCTTAAGCCTAATACGGTAAATCACTCCTACACCAAACATCATTTGGCAAATATCTCATTATTCATCATCATAGTGCTGCTGTCACAGTATTATTTACAGTCATATTAATACAATCCTCAGCAACAAATGACTTCCTGTAAAAGAAAATGCATCTGTGTCGCAGCCTCGGCCTGACATCTGCTGATACCGCTCGGTTATTTCTTCCTCTATAAAAACAAAAATTGTGGATAAGTCATCTCGTCTTCTTACTTTTTTTAAGATGTAAACAGAGATCATGATGTGTAATCCAAAAGGGTCTGTTCACACATTTAAAACGCTGAAATTTTGCATCACAATTAAGTGGATTAACTTGCAACGCTTAAGTAGTTCGATGCACTTATTTTGCATCAAGTTCAATTTTGGTTAACTTTAACACACAAATTAGCCTCGTGACCAATAGCAAAACAAACTCATTAGCTGTGTAAAGTATAAACTGCTCCACAGACAAGATGACACAGCTTTTAATAAACTGTGTCAACTTACTCTCTTGTTAGCAAAGCGCTAACAAGCTTGCTAACTGGTTGCTAACCATCTTTACTAATGTCCATGGGCCACTTGGCCAATGGCGTTAACTCAGAGAGGTTCGTATTTTCTGTCTTCGATAAAAAGTTGTTGAATTAAATGATGTAGCAGCCCGGTAAAGAGAAAAAAAGAAGCTAGGAAAGCTAATGTGATTGGCTAGCCCTAGCATGTCTTGGTTTGCTAGCATGTTAGCGGTTATCTCACCAGCTACAGGGGTTCACCCACGAACCCCGCGAGTACTTACTACGTCATCAAGCTTCTATAATAAAATGTTTTGTAAAGACGCGTGGATTAATTTTGTCGTTAAGTTTCACCAGCTTCTCTTTAACCAGGCCCTAATTCTGAAAATCACTTTTTGTTCGTCTCAAGTCATGTCATGGTTCACCAAACGTGGTTGTACACTGTACATTTGTGGCATCTTTGTTTGGTAGGCATTGGGAATGTACTTCCTGCACGATTCAGCATCAAAATGTAATTCTAAAAATACTTTAAACATCTTGAAAAGGACAATAAGGATTGCTTGAGTGTAAAAAAGAAAAAGAGTCTGTTATTCCCCAGTAGCGTAGCCGCAAGTCTGAAAGGAGACCTGGAAAGCAACTATTCCTCAAAGGAGGGTGTCAATCCGGGCGCTTGGGTCTCCGCCTAATGAGTCCCCGAGGTCAAACAGCTGGTCCAGGTTGACGGTGGAGCTACAGAGGAAGTCACTGCGGCCTTGTTCCTCCTCTTCTGGCCAGGGGCTCTCCAGGAAGGCCGTGGCGAGGAAGGTCTCCTCGTCAAAGTCCGACATGTCATTATTCCTTTGGGTCTCCACCAACACGTGGATGTCCGCTGTCCCTGCGGGGGTTTCAACAGGAGAGATGTGGGTCCCCCGCACTGTCAGGTCCTCCTCTTTCATGATGGGGCTCAGAGGTTCTCCTCCCTCCAAACTGAGCTCCCCGCTGAGGGCCGAGTCCAGCAGGGCGTCCCAGTCAAAGTCCCCCTTCAGAGGTCCAATCTCCTTCGGTTCGTCCACAGAGAGCAGCGGGGAGCTGGAGCGCCGGGGGGCTTTGGCGCCACCATTTCTGGAGCCCCCCGACTGTTTCCTCTTGTGCCCACCTCTTCCCCTGACCACTGGCCACGACCCCAGCATGGTCCCTTCAGCCAGATGAGGGTCCCAGTTCTGGTCTGCGCCGGTTGCCTCTTCAAACTCGAGTAGAAGCTGCTGGGACTCTGGGTTGATGCACAGGCTGCTCTGACCTCCAATGGGGCCGCAGGGGCCTCTGGACTGGGGCTGGAGGTTGACCATGAGCCTGTTCTGCAGGGCCGGGTTGATCTGGACCGGTGGCATTCGCCTCTTCTTATAGGCGCCGTTCAGGAGACGCTCAGCGTATTGCGGGTCAATTTTCCAGAAACCTCCCTTTCCCGGCTCGTCCTTCTGCCGCGGCACCTTGATGAAGCACTTGTTGAGCGAGAGGTTGTGTCGGATGGAGTTCTGAAAAGAGACGTATTTAAACATGAGCGCTCACATACTGGCTTCACCAAACAACTTTGGACGCCACTTCTGAGGCGTTGTGCGATATTTTGGGAAATATTTTAATTGGCTTTCTTGCTGAGACACTCTCATGTCTGTAGCATGTGAAGCTACAGCCAGTAGCTAGTTAGCTTAGCTTAGCATAAAGACACAGCTAGCCTGGCTCTATCCAAAGGGAACAGAAACCGCCTCTAAAGCTCACTAATATTATATCTCATTATTTTAACCAGGACAAAAACTCAAGTGTAAAAACGAGTTGTGATTTTAAGGTGGGTTACTTGTCGGACTACTTCTTGCCGGTAGCAGTGACTCCTTGGAGTCTTGTCATCACTGCACAGCTAGATGGGACATTAATTATTTATATTGGCAATGCCGACTTCGTAATTAATAATACATGAAGAAGACTACTTGCAGACCTGTGGCCTTTGGAAGTCGCTTCTGATGATTAAAAAACACAACAGTACACACAAACAGTATCATTATTTGAGTAAATAAACTAGAACATATGAAAAAATATAGACAGAATAAGAAATTAGACATCTCGACAAATGCACAAACTAACTTTCTGATTCAATGATGAAACAAAACATTTTTATCACACCACTAGAAAACCAAAGTAAACTTAACTAAAATAACTTCATCTAGCATGCCATGAGCAACATGATCTTGTGCAGTATTGAACTGACTGACTACATCCATCCAACAAACATCCGAATAAAGGAATTTAGAACAGATTTTTTTGTTCAAAGTTCTAGTAATTTCTTGGTGAGGCTACAGTGGATTTATTGTAGACTATTTCTTCTGGCCCATGTGACCATAAGGATGCCAGGCAATCAGCAGAAGTCACCGCTACTGGCCAAGAAATAGTCCAACACATTGCCCCCAGTAAACCACAAAGTGTCCCAAAACGGCCGTACCAACCCAGCGGCAGGCGTACAGGACCTTAAGTATGTAACGTAAGTCACATGATGTTTAACACATGGTAAACGTTGGGAATCTGTTTTGTTCTGCTTGGTTTAGGCAACAAAACCACTTAGTTTTAGGAAAAAGATCGTGGTTTGGGTTAAAATACGCACATTATTTAAATCGTGATCTACAAAACGTTATTTAACTTAAAACATGTAACCTTTGACTTTCTTCCACACAGGACCCCACCGCCCTCCTCTCTTTTTATACTACGTCACCTGACTTTTTCTGCCGCTAGAGGTCGCGGCCTGACAAAAAAATGTAAATATTAGTCGTAATAAGATGTTGCATGATCGACCCATACGGCCGTTTCCACGAATTAGCATGTTAATCTGTGAGCTATTAGAGTTGCTTGGAGGTTGATTCTGTTACCTTTGGACAGAGCCTGCCTGGTCTAGTCTTTATGCTAAATTATGCTAAGCTAAGCTAACCAGCTGCTGGCTGTAAGTTCATATTTACTGTACAGACATGGCAATGGCAACAATCTAACTCTCTGCAGGGAAGGAAGTTAGTGCATTTGCCCAAAATGTTGAAGCATTCCTTTAAACCAAAGCCTATTTGGTAAACTGACTGTACATCAGCCTGTCGTGAGGCAGGAAGTACTGATGCCAGAGCACCATACATCACATTAACGCACTGTGTACTCTTGCATTCACCCCCGCCCACCCCCTTCACTGATGTCTAAATAGAGCAGTGACCCTGTGACCTTTGTTAAATATTATCTGCCCCATGTACTGCCTTGCAATAACAAAATGCTCTGAAATGCCTGAGCCAGATGCACAAACAAGGAGTACAGCTAACAGCTTCATCAATCATTTATCCGGCAAAATTAAACTTTTCTCAAAAATTCCTGCCCTCTGGAGGGGGAATCTGCTGCCCCTCCTTTTACCCCTCCATCTCTTGTTTTTGCTCAAGCAGAAAAAAACAGTGAGCTGCTTTAAATGAACAAAAGCAATGTAATAAAAATAAAAAGAGAATTTAGTGTTTTCTATGAAGGTTTTGTGAAAGTGTTTCTGGCTGCAGGAGTTATTAATTAGCCACACAGCTAAGTCACTAATACTTCATCAGAGCATGGCAGCAGGCCCAGGCCTCTCAGTATGTTCTGTCCCTCTGTAATGGATTTTTTTTTTTTTACTGTTCTTTAAATAGAAAAGAAATCATGTGCCCAGCTGTGGTTTGACCCCAGTGCAGAAAGCAGACCTGAGAGAAACTCATTTTCATACAGGGAGTGTTAGAAGTGACGCTTCCTTTTTAAAGAGTGGATTGTGTAATTCACTGTGTGTCCTTTACCTGCCAGGTGGGATCGGCGTGTCTGTAGTAGCAGAAGTTGTCAGTGATCCACTTGTAGATGCAGGACAGAGTGATCTTGCTCTTCTTGCTGGCCTGCATGGCCATGCAGATGAGCGTCGCGTACGAGTACGGCGGCTTGATGCGCGCGTTGGTCTTGTAGTCCACCTCGTCGGGGCAGTGACCGTGAGCCACGATGCTGGGGAGGGACTGCATCCTGCTGTAGGCCGCCGCGATGGGCTTCCCCGGTGTCAGGGGCATGCCCATGGAGGCGGGGTCCCCGGCCAGAGGGGAGGCCGGTGCGTCGGAGCCCAGCGGCTGTTGGCCGAACAGGTGCTGCTGGTGGTGGGTCTGTTGCGGAACGTTGGCACCGAGGATGGAGAACTCCTGCAACCACTGCAGGCTGGTCAGGCTGTCGTCCAGGTTGATGGAGCTGTTGTTGATGCTGCTGTTGCTGTTGTTGTTGTTGTTGATGCTGTCCCGCTCCTCAGCTTGGGCAGCGGCGGTCATTACCTCCTCCTCCAGCGCCACCGAGCCTTCAGGCCAGGGGTCTGCACAGCTCAGAGACAGCATGGCTCTCTCCTCTCCGTCTCCCAGCTCCTTCTCCTCCTCCTCCCCCTGCCACCGCCTGACAGGACCGAAAATATACAACCAACGTCAACACAAGTGCGAAAAGGAAGGACAATGATGGCCCTATTTGAAAACAGAGCCTCTGTGTGTGTGTGTGTGTGTGTGTGTGTGTGTGTGTGTGTGTGTGTGTGCGGGCGCGCGCGCGTCCGTGCGCGTAAAGTCTTTCAGATTCCAATTCCCATTTGAATCCTGCTGCTATTCTCTCACCTTACTGTCTGAAACGTGCTGCAAAAGTGAGGAATATTCTGAAACCCCTAACTTGTTGATGAGCAGCAGCCTTTTCTCTCTCTCTCTCTCTCTGTCCGTGTCTCAGAGGTTTCCAGAAAACTCTGTTGCGCACTTGACGCTCAGCGCAGAAAAGAGCGCATCGTGCCCACCGACGGCTACAGGTGCCGTTAACGTTTAACCCACACAAATCTACTACATGGTAAAAGTTAAAAAAATCTTCAAACTAAACTGTGTTATTAAACTATAGGTGGAATGTGTAGGCCTACTGTCACCTTTGAGGACACATTTAGGACGGTTTACGCGTAAAATCCGCACATTTTTGTATTCAGGCTCCAAGGACAGGATTTAATTTACCAAACACCTTATTATTTTACAGGTAATACTTTACTGCCAGTATATACATTAATTTGCTTGTAAGTATATTGTGTATTTAGCATTTATAAATAATTAAATGTATTTGTTAAGAGTTAAATAAATTTAAATATTTGTGGACTTTTGATTCAGACACTTCAGCTGTAGTGTAACACATTCAGGGGATAAATTAATCTTAGAATAAAGTTCAAAACTCACCTTTTTGCTGTTATGTTGCGTTTTAAATCCCAAAACGCGCAGCACGTATTGATTGTTCAGCCCCAGCCTATTTGAAGTGCACCTGTTGTCAGCTTGAAAGAAAGAAAAGAGGAGAAATTCCTGTGGATTTGGCGCTGCGTTGTGCGCTTCTTCTCCTCCTCTGCGGAGGTCTTTGTAACGGGTGTCAGCGGGCTGCAGGATCCGTCGGGGAGGCAGTTTAATACCTGGTGCAGGAGGTTTGTCCAGCAACCATAGAAACGGTACACCCCCCTCTTGTAAACAGCTTCCCGGTCCTCTATTGGCCTGCTGGTTTCTATAGCGCTTCATTTTTAATCACTCTCAAGTCAACTGTGGCTGGTGCCGTGCAGGTTCTCAAGCTGAGGCCCGGGGACACACCGCGGGACCTCCGTGAACTATTTTTTTTTACTTGAGCAAACTAAGGATTACTTTAATTCTACAGGAATTAAACCTCTAAAAGTTTAATTAAATTGAGAACAAAGAGTGACTCTGATCTTGGCCTATAACTTTACTTTTAGTTGTAGTGAAGAATATGAATATGCAGTGCAGGAAAGTAACTAACAGTAGTGGATGAAGTATTCAGATCCTTTACTTAAGTAAAAGTACTAAGAGGCTCGCTCACTGGATAAATACTCTGTTAAAAGTAAAAGTACTGCATTGAGTTAAGTATGTATTATCTGGAAAGTATTAAAAGTAAAAGTATTCAGAATGAAAATTGTTCCCTGTGACTTTTTTACTATTTATATCATTAGATTATTATTCCTCATGCATTCATGTAAAAGCAAAATTTTACTGTTTTAGTTGGTTTAGATTTTGTATCAGACTGCAATTAATAATTATCTTTATTATGGAATAATTCTGCTGATTATTTGACACCTTCACAATGCTAAAGAAGAAGAAAGAGAGCAAAAAGAAAAAGCAGCAAAATCTTCACATTTGTGAACCATAAAATGTTTATGTGTAAACGATCATCAAAATAGTTGCCAATTAAATTTCTGTCAATCAACAAATGTACCAGCTGTACTTGTATAAACTGCTGGGTATTTTGATTTATAACAAGACATCCTATTTTATAAACTCTTCATAAATCTTACTTTTTAAAATAATTTGTAACTGAAGCTGTCAGATAAATGTAGTGAAGTAAAAAGTACAACATTTCCCTCTGAGATGGGGTGGAGTAGAAGTAGAAAGTGGCATTAAAAGAAAATACTCAATTACAAAACCTCTTACTTGTATTTAAGTGCAGCACTTGATAAATGTACTTCGTTATTGTTCCCCATGGTACTACATTTACTCAAGAAGCCCTGTAGGTGAGGTACTTGTCCCTTATTTGACTATTTCTATTTAAACTTATACTTTCAGACCACTGAGGGAAATACTGTAGGCCTATACTTATTACTCCACTACATTTATTTGAAACCTTTAGTTATTTGTTTCAGCTTAAGAGTTTACATTGTCTTTTAATTTACAACACATTGTTAAAGTTTGACCTTAACCTTGTGACCTTTTATGTTCAATCAGTGTGGAAGTTGTGGCTCTTTATCTATAAAAATAAAAAATCTTCCCTATGTACACTTTTTATTTTGATTGATCATTGTTTTATACACACTTTCCTCTGCACACAAAAGGCCACATTCGTGTTGTGTTTGCAGGTTTATTTGGATTCACATTTATTTTGAGATATATTTCTCCAGAACTTTCCATATTCAGTCAGTCTTTTTACCTATAAATTGATTTGTTTCATCCCTTTGTTGGTGTCTTTCACGGCAGTATGCGAGCAGCAGTGGCGATAAGGCACTGAGGAGTGTTTCACCCTTTAAAGGCAGCAGTTACAGTGAGCGGCAGGCGGCACTCCACGTCCAACTTTGAAGAGACGTCAGGACTCAAGAGCTGAGGAAGCCTTTTTATTGCTTTACAGTTGCCTTTGTGAGGGGCCTCAGGAAACCACTCAGCCACACTAATAGCACGTTCGAGGGGCCAAACCTTTTTGTTTCGCCTTTCTCTTTCTTTCTGTCTTATGAACAAAAGTACATTCCTTCACACACGCTGTCTCCCCTGTAAGTCCAAACTCTGGGTCCAACTTTTAGTTTGTAACCAATTAAATATATTCAGAGATGGAGCCACGGTGTTTCACAGTGTCACTGTCAGAATGAATTAAAGTCTTACCCGTAAAAGCAGCCTACTGGTTGTGTCACGTGTCTCCTGTGACAGATATCTGATCTGATATATAGGATCATCAATGTCAGAGCAGTGTTTTACTGTTGTAGATCTAGTTTTACCTGCTTGATAAGTTAGCTAGTTTTGAAAAACTTTATATAGCCTGCACTTCACTATATTCTGCATTGCACTTAATCCTTGGCACATTCTTATTTACAAGGCTATTCGTGGTCTGCTTCCCGCATACATACAAACCTACATCAAAAAGAAAGGCACAGGAAGATCTTGACTTATTACTGTTATCTGTCCCTCAAGTCCGGATTGAATTGGAAAAAGGGGCATTTAAGTATGTGCTTGGAATCAGCTGCAAAATGTCCTGAACCTTCAGGAGCCGGTTTCACTGATTGCTTTCAAAGTACTACTAGTAGTACCTACTTTTAAAAGACATGGAGGCTGAGTTGAGTTTTCTTTCTGGTTAAATAAAGGTGAAATTTCACTTCTATGTAAACTTAACAAGTTTTAACTACTATAGTTAGCTAGTTTAAAACTATATAGGCTACACATAACTAGTTTTAACTAGGGTACTATATACAGTTAGCTAGTTTTAAAAATACTTTATACACACTTAACTAGTTTTAACTAGACTCTACAGTTAGCTAGTTTTAAACTATATAGGCTACACATAACTAGTTTAACTAGGGTACTATATACAGTTAGCTAGTTTTAAAAATACTTTATACACACTTAACTAGTTTTAACTAGACTCTACAGTTAGCTAGTTTTAAACTATATAGGCTACACTTAACTAGTTTCAACTAGGCTCTACAGTAGAGCGGGTTGTCCCTGATCCCTGGCTCCCCCTGGTTGCGTGTCGAAGTGTCCTTGGGCAAGATACTGAACCCCGATTTACCCCTGGCGGCTGTTCCACCAGCATATGAATGTGTGTGAATGCTAGTTTCCGTTTGAGCACTTAGGCTCAGTGTATGAATGTGCATGAATGGTGAATGCAGATGTAGTGTAAAAGCGCTTTGAGTGGTCGAAAAGACTAGAAGTACGGAGCATTTACATTTAACTAGAGTTACTAACTACAGTTCACTAGTTCTAAAAATACTTTATATACACTTTGTGACAGCAGACACACTTTTAACTACTATATACACTTAACTGGTTTTAACTATACAGTTAGCTAGTTTTAACATGCAACTAACTATTTTAAACTTATTTTAAACTATTTTAACTTATATTTTCTTCTCCGTTTTCCTGGGATAACAGGATAATTATCTCGTGATCTTGAGATAACAAACCATAACTGAATACAGGGTCGGCAGGTGCGTTTAGGATAATTTCCACAGGATTTTAATCTGAAAAATAAATAGTGTTAGATTAATATAATGGAGTAAAAAGTACCATAGATAGATTGATACAAAGCAGCAAAAAATTTTAATACTCAAGTAAAGCACAAGTGCTTCCAAATTGTAGTGCAGTCCTTGAATAAATGTATTAAGTTAACTACTTTCCACCAATTAAATAGACATAGATTAAAAAAAGAAAGAAATGCAAACAAGCTCAAGATGGCCAGACTGGAGGTTCTCCATACAGTCGAATGTCTGTGAAGGCTGAAAATACAGAAGCACAATCAAACCAGTCAAACCAGACTGAGGGAACAGAACCGTGTCCTGGTCTTTATTTTACTCCTGACATCCTTGTTTCAGATCAGCCTACATTGGCCTGTTGTCACCTCTCATTGTTCAAACCCTGTAAGGTCAACGCTCCCGACAAGAGGCACTCCTTCATGTCCCTCCCACCCCAGGCCCCATCCCATCTCCAGCAGAGGTCAGAGGTCAGAGCAGGAGCAGCCAACCTGAGCAACTTCACAGAGCGGAGGGTCAGGGAGAGTCAGCCTCGACTCAGATCTCAGAGGATTTATAGAGAAAAAATTCAGCTGGTGGACTTGACTGACTGACAGACAGAGAGAGAGGAGGACACACACAAACACAGACAGACAGACAGATATCAAATGCAGACCGATGCCATACAGACATTTAAAGCATTAAATCATTATAATTAATGTAAAATATCCTGCAGGCTTGTATAGTCAGAGGCTCAACACTAGATATTAAAAATCATGCAAATTACTGTAACTAATATTTGTAAGACACTCATTTAAAATTGACTCAAACTGGTGATTAAAAGTATTTCTTACTTTGAAAGTGTGAACTCTTCATCACTCTGCTTTTTTCACCAAATTCAGCCATCTAGCCTTCATCAGGATCGTGCCTTTATTCTGATTTCCTTACATTGATCATGGGGCCTGTTACAACATAAAAATATAATAGATTATAATGCAGTAATCAGTAGCTCATTATTGTTTTTAGCTTAATTTACTTTTTCTGGACAAAACAGTTTTCTTCTATATTTACATTGCATTGCAGGCTTTGTCATTGCATTTTTATTTGTTAATTAACATTTATTATTGTTATTAACATTTCTTGGTGCAAGCTATTATCAGAGCATTTTTAACAAATGCTTTCAAAAAGTGGTCGGGGCTAATAAGAGGTGTGATTGGGCCAGTCCAGTGTCGGTATAGAAAATTACCCAATGGGCTGTTGTCTGCGCTTTATGGGCCGATCATTGGCCCATTTTTTAAAAACAGTTATATAAATACATAATTTAGGTTACACCGGCCCCAAAAGTGTGTCAGCCCACCCAGCATTACCAGTCCTGCCCTGCTAACAAACCATCGATGGGTTGAATATTTAATTCAAGCAAATAAATTCTGTATTGTTTCAACGTAATTATTCAGATTACTTTTTCAAAACACAGTGAGTTTGCCTGAAGTTTCCCTGAGCGATGCACAGTGGCGGCTCCCTAATCGGGCTAAATGCAGAGAACAAATTCCACATGCATTGTACTGCAAAGTTGATTATAAATTTATTATTATATATTAATTGTCTGTAATCGTCCATGACAAATTTCCCCTAGGGGACAATAAAGTATATTCTATTCTGTTCTATTCTATAAAATGTACAAATCAATCTTGAAGAATATATATAATATTATTAGTTGTCAATTTTTAACAAGTCCGCCAACAGCAGATTGCGTTAATTTCATCTTTGTCAACATTTAACATATAAAATTTTTAACCTGTCTTTTTAAAACTCTCCATATTGAATCATTCATCATTTGAGGTGTTTTGTAATTGCTTTAACTGCTCTTTACCAACGGGTTTCTCAAAATTATTCCATTTCCTGTACCCCAAGTCATTTTCCTCGCCCTTCAAAGCAGTTAGATCATCATATTAAATAAATCCTTATTATGACTCTTATTGCTGAAAATGTATTTGTACCTAATAAATACCTAATCTGCATGCTAGTATATGAATATTCATTGTGATATGAGTAAAGTTGGGGGAAAAGCCTATTTGGCTGTTGTGTCTCACCTTAAGCCCTCAAGGTTAAAATAGGAATTAGACATTTTACATTTGTTTTTTAATTAACATGCTCTCTTGTGAATCACCTGTCAGTCTTATGAAGGACTAGAACTCTTTCAAATCTTAATCCAGCAGACGTGTCCTGCTTTTCTTCTGAAGTAATGCTTGTTGTTGGACAGATGAGGGCGTCAGATACCATTTAATGACAGAGAGTGTAAGTTATAGTGGTGGAAGAAGTACTCCGGTCATTACACCAGTGTAGAAATCCTGCAATCAAATATATTTTTGGATTCTAATTATTGATGCATTAAGGTGCTCATTTTAATTACTGTGTGTGTATATATATATATATATATATATGCTTTGTTGAATAAATGTTGTATTAATAATATAAATCTGTAAAGTAACTAAAGATTAAAGTAAATAAATGTCGAGTAAAAACTGTACTTAAGTACAGTACTTGAATAAATGTAGCCTACTTAATCATATTGCACATGTTCTTATTTGATCGTGTAAAGTTATTTTAATAGTTCAGAATGAGCTCCAACAACTAGAGTAATAAAATCCTGCATTATTAATGATAAGGAATAATAATCTGAGGAGAGGAGATATAATAGTAGTACAACAGTACAGGGGCATTTTATTGTACTTTAAGAATATTTTTCTGATTATACTCACAT